CTTGCTCAATCAGGGCTGGGTATCCAATCTCCTCAATGCTGACGGTGTCGTCATCTGCGTCCTCAGCTGCACTCTTGGATGTGGAAGAGCCTTGATCCTTAAACATATCAGTCGAATTCATGCAGCGACTCATGAAGCTTTCGTAGGTCTCAGCACGTGGAGGAGGGCTGTAGACGTAATCACGGCCATAGTCTTTTTGATCTGTTGACTGGGTGCCATAACGACGCTGCATGTAATTATTGTAGTAGTACTCTTCTTCAGGGTTACGGAAAGTGAAATGTGGTCGGGGGAAGCGTCCTAATCCATATCCAACTGCCATTCCAGCCAAAGCACCGACGCCTGCAGCCACCATGGCTTTTTTGGCAAAACTTGGTGACTTGGGCGCATACCCCATGTTCTGCACAGAACGAGAAAAAGGTGACCCTGCCATCCCATAGCCATAGCCTCCTCCACCAAAGCGGGGACTCAGAATCTTATTATTTGGGTTCCAATTGGAGTAGCCACCAACTGCTCCACCAGGGTAACCTCCTGGATAACCTCCTGGATTTGAACCAGGCACATTCCAACCTGGTCGTGTGTTTCCAGTTTGGACTGGGTAACCACCTGGATACTGGTAAGGATACCTTCCTGGGTTTTGTGGATAACCACCTGCTGCTGGGAAACCCCCACCTGGATGCTGATTAGGATAATTCTGGTTTGGATAACCTCCAGCAGGGTACTGATTAGGATAACCACCGGGGTTGCTACCAGCTCTGCCTGGATATTGGTTGGGGTAGCCTCCGGCAGCTGGATTTTGATTTGGATAATTTCCTCGAGCTGGGTTTTGATTAGGATACCCTCCTGCTGGGTATCCACCTGCAGGGTTCTGGTTCGGATAACCTGCAGGATTGCCTCTGCCAGGGTACTGATTTGGGTTGCTACCGGCACCTGGATAACTTGGCTGGTTCTGTTTGGGATAAGGGTAACTTCCACCAGGAGGATAAGGATTGGTGTTTCGATTAGGACTCTGTGGCTGACGTGGGTAGTTTCCTGGTTGAGAGTTGGATGTCTTTGAATTGGTCCAACCCTTGTTGCTGCTGGATGAAGATTTTCCCCTGCTGCTGCTGCTGCCACCTCTTTTAGCACATGTCAGCTCAGTGGTCAAAAGCGACATGATAAGAAGAGACACAAGAACCATCTCACACAACCTCCCCATCATGGCCCTAAAAGGAAAAGTCATGGTTGTAAACACCCGTGTATATATATACATATATATATATATATATAATAAACAAACATCTCTTCATTTTAAGTGTGTTGTATAGGCATAAGATTAAAAAGAGTCAGCTGCACTTTTTTTCGATAACGATCAATAAGAAACAATGTATCATTCTGGCTATATCTATTTATATATTTATATAACGCGTATAGCTAGAACACCCTCATTGAATCCTTGTCCTATTTAAAATTTAGAAATGGTGTCAATCGCATTATTATCTTATCATTTGATGATAACAATAATAATGATAATGATAATAATAATTAATGAACAAATTAAGGTTCATAAACGTGAGGCTGTTATCACTGCATCATCCTTCCCCTTCCATTAGAAAAACATAACGGAGCCATATTATAACGGATGTGTGTGTCGTCTTTTTATCTCGCCGAACCAATCAGCAAAGCGTTTTATAATAGCATCACAATTAAATGAAATGTGATGAAGGCTAATATCTTACCAGGAATTGGTGTTTTGTGTGTAAGCGTCGATAATTCGAGTGCGTTTGTTGTTCTCTCTCCGTCTTCTCTCCGCTCCCTAAAGGGACCAGGGTGGTTTCTTCCAAATGCGGTGCGCTCGTTTTTATCATACGAAGCACCGGATTAAATGTTCCAACGATGCAAAACAACAGCATGTATACTAAAACTATTTTTAACTGCAAAACTGGTATTCTTACTTAGAATACCAGTTTTTAGTGTAAAACTAATGGCGACCATATCAGAAAGTGTCCTATAAGGGAGGCTAAACAGTATTAATTATATATCCGCACCGTCCGTTACGACTGTCAGCTACGTCCCGTTATTCACGACAAGCGCACATATGTACCCTACATAGAATGTATTTCCGGTCAGGCCTCTTTACCAACAGCCTGATAACAGTTTCAGTGGCGAGCCTAGGGTTTTTTGGTGAAACCGAACAAAAATGACAAGACCTCCTCCAACCACAGGTCAATGCAATTAAATAATAAAATAAATAAATGATACTATCAATTTAAGTGGATTTTTTAGGTGTATTTATCTGAAATGACAAAAAATGGAACACTGCAAATGTAAAAAATATTTACAGCTTCAGTGAACCATTAATCCTTTTTAAATTTTAAAAGGGATGCATTTGCTTTGGGAGTTTTGATGATAGAGGTTGACATGATGAGTAACAGCTGAAATAGATAACTTTGAGGGCATGATATCCCATACTTATGTGTTGTACCGAGTGGATCGACTGAAAGGGAACAGTAATTAAATAAAAGCTCAAGGGAAGATGGCAGAAAGAAGCAGTGGTAAGAAGAAAGAACTGGCAGGTGGGTCTATAAAATTCAAAGAAAATTGACATAATGAAGAAAACGGGACAAAAGGATTAAATTACCATATCCAAATTATGCTTTGGTCATACAGGATTAAACAGTACCATTATTTAAATTGGGATAACATACTACAGGGAATTTCGGCTGTTTTCAAGAAGAGACATAGAACAAGTTTGAAAACTCATCAGCAACCCAAGTCCCTTTAGCTTGAGCCAACTTCAGCTTATACACACATATAAATATACATTTGTTTTGCGACATCATATAGCATAGAATAGAATAGAATTCAACTTTATTGTCATTGCACATGCACAGGTACAGGGCAACGAAATGCAGTTTGCATCCATCCAGAAGTGCTTTAGTGATATAGATATATTACAATATATATTAGCAATAATATAGATATGTGAGTATATTACAGAAATGGGTCTATTATGGCATGTTATAACGTACACAGTATGAAGTATGTTGTGAATATTCTATAACTATAAGTATGTACAGGCTGTAGTGAGTACAAGCTATGTACAGGATATGAACAGGATATAAAT